TTCCTGGAAACTTGCCTGATGATCCGGACTCGTGGCTCAATGTGGTGGCCATCTGCAGGCCTGCCCTGCACATCTTGCTCGTGGCCTGTAGGACAGACACCTGGACAGGGCAGAGACCCTGCCCTGTTAGTCATGTTAGGAGCTGGCAGCCTTCATCGCTTCCTGACAAAGAGCTTTATATGAAAAAGTTGTGAAGTGTAGCTGCAATGAGAAGGGAGATGAAATATAAAATCAGGATTGACTCAATGAGGAGTATAAAATATTAACTTTGCAAATATTAACTTTGTTTCCCCCTTCTAATAACACATACCTAGCTTTGAGCTACAAATCCTCACAGTCTTGGATTAAATATTTTCAACTATTGAAGCAATCCAATTTGAGTGTTGTTCTTTCCTTTTGTGGTGCAATAAGAAGTTAAATATATCACATGCTGCCTTACACAAGGAAAAAGCACACTGCTGGCATCCTATGCTGATTTTCTCTCCCTATTTTTTCCTATAGCCCATAGTCAGGTCTGACCAGAATCAGTCAGATCCTTGGTATATGCAAGTGCCTCTGTTAGAAGTAAGATTAAATTTCTTCAAACTCATTAATCAAAATACTTCCTCTCATACTCCCAGAATAAGGCTACAAAGCTCGAGCACCTGTCCAGGTGGTGATTTATTCCTGTAGATAAAAGGCAGGAATTGCAACTCCTTTTTCATTCTTGCATACCTTCCACCATTCTCGAGCATCTGAAAAAATACCTCTCTAGTTTTTCAACAGTCATTTTATATTTTCTTTAAAATGGATATTCTTGACTAATGTACTCAGAATGGGATAATAATGACAACTTGACATGCATGGAAGCACTTTATACAATTCAAAATGACAAGTTGTCAAAAAATATAATGGACAGCCGGGGTGGTGTACCTGATGTGGAGAGAAGACCATTCAGTGTCTTGAAGTTTAAGCTGGGCAGCCCTGCTGTGAAACATTCTTGAAAGCCCCATTGTCTGCTGGGTTGCTTCTGAGCCTTTGAAAGTGCATGGGGGTACATTAAGGAAAGGTGTTAATTTAAACTAGAATTCCTGAATAGCAACACAAGTAGACAAACTTGCAGACAGATCATCACTTCTAATGCTGCCATTGTTTCTCTGTTGCACTGCTGTTCTTTTGCTCTTGCCCCCAGTGGAATGCCTCAGTTCTTTTTACAGGGCCCAGCAAAGCCACTTTTGTGATGGACCTGGAGGAGGTGGCTGAAGTTCTCAGCTACTGACTGCCTTGCTTAATGTACCAGGTAATTCTGGAAGGTTGTACCTGATTCTTGTGTTTTTAGTCCATGTTGGGTAGCAGCGCTAATTTCCTTTTAACCCTTTTCACCTCTTTCTTAATCAAAGAACACATATAAGACCACATTGTCTCCTCTAGACACTGATCCTTGAGGATGCATGCATACTTATACCATAATATAAGTGGGGATGACCACAGATAAATACGTGAATCCCTTTAAAGGGAGAATCTGATAAAGTTTGGACTTGCAAGAGACTGCTTAAATGTGAATGAAGATGCTGTCTAGCTTTAGGTGTATATGGGGAAAAAATGCGTCTGCTTTGTCCTAAAACCAGCATAAGTGCTTAAAAGAAGAATTCAAAACACACCCCAAAGCTCTAGTTCCAACTGCTCTAACGAGTAGCAGAAGAATCTCCCTTTCTTCTGTATTTGCGATTCATTTATATTGTAATGTTTTTACAGTAAGATATGGGCTCTGGCGCCTTTAGGCAGGGAGGCTATCTATGGGATTGTACTCATGCTCCTGAAATAGAGCAGTTCACTTTCTCAACTGGTATCAGCCTGAGCTGTTGATGAAACACTTCAACACAGCCCAAAGCAAACCAAACCTTGTGAAGAGTTATGTGACTGTAAAACAACTCATACTAATGAGCTCTTTGAATCAGACTGATCCCTTCTATCTGGAGCTAGAATAAGTTGTCTAGAATAGAATGGGGTAAAAAACGGAATTTTCAAAGGCCCACTGAAACACTGATGAGGCTAAGTCACAATGTGGAACAACTTCTTTCTGTGAAGGGGCAGGAAAGGGAGCCTGAGGCAATGACATTTGTAATGTAGCTCTCACAGTTGTTTCAAGTTAGAGGGAGAGAATCCAGGTCTTAATGTGCAAGTGGTATTTACTGTCTCTTCTACAGCAAAAGTCCTTTAAAAAACAAATGCACATTTAGACTGTCTTTGATCTCTTGAAGCAATGTGATTAGTTTAAAGATATGTTGTGGTTTTAATTTCCCCCCTCTTCTATCCCTGAAGTTTAGAAGGGGAATTCTGGTCATCTTACTTGTTTTCTTCCACTAGATTAATTTTGAAACGTTTACAGGACAAAACATCAAAGCTTGTGGCTGCCTGTTACCTTTCCCAAATAATAAGTATTTATAGATGTCTGTCTTTATAGATGTCTATCTCTAGAATTAGTATCTGATTTAAGTCTCTAATTCGTTCTAGTGAACTCTAAGCACATCAGTCATTAGAGTTAATTTAGCAAATAAGCATGTGGGTAAGTGTGGGAAGACCTTGTAGTGCTGCTTTTCTTTTCCAGTTACATCAGTCTAATATCAGCTATTCTCTCTCCTTTCAAGTCTCTTTAAAACATCACCATCTTTAGAGCAGGACACATATCCAAAAGTGGCACTCAGAGTATCTGTGACAGTTTAGCAGGAGCCTCTGGGTTTCAGTAGGTGGTTTGTCTCACAACTTAGGGCATGAATTATGCAGCTTAGCCTCTTGCAGAGGAATATTTCCATTGGTCCATAGCCTTTAAAATGACAGTGAGGGCTCAGTTTATCCTCTGAGGAGTATCTGGACTCTGAGATGGTGAGGAGGAGGAAGCACCTTTACCCACCTGCACAAACTGCTCCTTCAGACCCAGGCTGCTGAGACAGATGGTTAATGGCACAGTTTGAGTTGGTGGGTTGGAGAGCTAGGGATGGGGGTGAAGTCAGAATGTGGCCAAGTCGCTGTACTATGTGTGTGAAATTGTGCAGCCCACCCATGGAATGACTAGTCCAGATGAAATTACTGTGCTGAGGTGCCTGTCACGTCTCATGTCATCATGCCCAAGCCTGGCTGTGGCTTTGCACTTTCAGAATGCATACTGGGGCAAAGCAGCTATGGACCTCCTTTGGCAATGTCTGGAGAAAAAATTTATATCTGACTTTGTTGGGATGGCACTTAGCTATGCAGGACATGGGCTCACTTCCTTTTACTACTGCCTGCCTTCACTAGAAATTCTCCTGCACACAGTTTAACAAGTATTTTACAAGGCTGCAGCTTAGACCATAGTCTTGTCCCTCCACTCCTGACAAAGGGAGGTGAGCCCTTCTCCGGACGGGATGGTTCCCATGTGGCTGAAGACAGGGTGAGGCATGCTGGGCTGTGCTGATGTAACGGGCTCCCTGCAATTTTCATTCAGATCTGGTTGGCTGTGAGCTGGCAGAGAGCCTCAGCCTCAGATACGCCTCCAACTCAGATGAGGTCATCCATGCTTTATTTTTTTTTTCTCCTGCTTCAGAAGTCTGTTGTGTATGAACGTTTAAGGTAATTTCCACACCACTGCAAATCTCTGGGAGCAGGAAGTCCCTTATCCCCCTCCCAGCTGCACTCTTTCCCAGCACCATCACAGTCTCTGCTCTCCCTTTAAAGAGAGAGGAGGAGCAAAAGGAAGATGAATTTACCGCAGTGCATTTTATAATTGATTCTCGCATCCAGGTCAGAGGGAACTGTTTGCTGGCAAGACATTGCAGATCTTCACGGTCCTAACACGAGTGTAAAGTAGCTCCAGGAAGAAACTCCAGACCCTGCTGCTGCCAGAAGTGAAACTACTCGCCCTGCCCGGTCTCTTGGTCCGTTCCCCGCCCTCCCACCGTGTGCCATGCAGCGATGCATCCAGCCAGCAGAGGACGGGGTAGGTTCCCTCGGCCGTCAGTCAGTAGGAGCTGCCCGGTTCGGGACGAGCTGATCGCGAAATAAGGACTGGCCCTGCGGAGAGCAGAGCACAGACAGCTGGGGTGTCCGGCCCTGGCCCCGTACCCTGCCTGGAAGCATCGCCTGCTCGGGATCTTCCTCCCTCCAGCCCCAGTCCGGTTAATCCCGCGTCATCTTCCGCGAAGAGCTGCCTGCTAACTTCGGCGCAGACGCCAGCTCTGCCTGCACGTCGTGGGCAGGATGGGGCTTGCGGCATCCCCTCTCTGCCCCGGGGGCAGCCAGCCCCCTCCTCCTCTTCCTCCCACCGCCGAGCCCCGCGCTGGAATCCCTTTAGCACAGCCTCTTCACCATGTCCTGCCAGGGGCGGAGAACCCTCAACCGAGTGCCTAAGCGGGACCGACCCCAGCTCCGCGGACAGATCCCGGCTCCGAGCGGAGCAGCCCCAGCTCCGCGGACAGATCCCGGCTCCGCAGACCGGTCCCAGGACCACGGACAGATCCCGGCTCCGGGGGGTGCAATCCCATCTCCGCGGACAGATCTCGGCTCCGGCAGACCGGCCCCAACACCACGGACAGATCCCGGGGAGCCGCCGGGCTCGGCGGGCGGCAGGGAGGGAGCTCGGCGCCAGCCCCGCTCCGTGCCTTGGTGCCCCGGGTTCCCGGGCACTGCTCGCTGCGGTAGCGGCACTCGGCTCTGCCCAGAAATCTCCCCGCACGCTCTGCCACCCACCTTGCTCACGGTGCCAGAAGAGGGCTTGTATTTGGGCTCAGAATCTGCCTTCTGTGGATCGGGATTTAAGAGCTTGGACGGTGCCTGGTTACAGTGGTGTATGAGTCTACAGACCCTGAGGTGCACTACAGACTTAGGAAGAAATCTTGGATCTGTCACGGTGTGGACGGCTAAAACAAACCCTATACAACCAGCAAACCCAACCCAGGCCTTCCTGCCTCCCTGCAACCAACTTTACACACACACACCCAACCGTGAGAATTCCCTCCTTTCCTCCTCGCTTCATGCTCCTTCCTTCAGCGACTGTAGGATGAGGCATTTTCTTCTAAGTAGCTCAGGGTAAAAGCATACCCTTGGGGCAGCAACACACGTCTGGAAGGGACTGAAAGGTTTTAATCCAGCCTCTACTGCAATCAACAATGGCAAATGAACCAGTGATTCTGAATGTTTATGACATGGTGAGTATGAAACACTACTGACTGGGGGCAGTGGGGCTGGGTGGGAGTTCACGCTTGGAGGGCAGGCACTGTGCAAAGAGGAGTAAAGCACAGATCTCCAGAGAGGCTGATTCCCTCCCCCTCCCTCTCTTCCCTGGCCCAAACTCCTCATCCATGCCTATCATCGTCTCATGTCAGAGATGATGCTGACCCTGCTTTATTTATTTATTTATTTATTTATTTATTTATTTATTTATTAGTGTTTAGCATGTTGGGCCAGATTACAGGTATTGTGCCAAATTTTCTGCAGGATTTTTCAGGAGAAGCACTGGCTGAAGAGAGGACTTTTTAATTTCCAGTGCCCCACTTAAGGAAGATAATGGGATCATCTCTGTCTGTGTTTGAGATAATTGTCCTTTAATTTTGAGTGAACAAGCATTACCAGGCTGTGGGGTGGGGGTCAAGATTTCATCTGAGGAGGAGAAACTGCTGTAGAGTTGCTAATAATATAACAGTTGTATAGTTTCTAAGAATCTAGCTCAATTCATCATATACATAAGATTGTAGTTAATAATTTTCTCTGAAGCTTAATTGCAAAAAGAAGAGTAAGAAATTGGTGAAGTTTCAACACAGAAAGGGGAACGGGCACATGCTGCTCAGCAATATTTCCTGAAAGCTCACAGGGCAGCAAGTGGTTTTACTTGACCTCTTCTTGCAAGAAGGAATGTGAGTAGCAAAATCAGCAAATCAGAAGGTCCAAATTTTGGCACAAACCCCCAAAGAGAAGGTGGCTTGGCACAGCCTTTTTGCTTGCTGGTCTGACAGAAACTTAGGAGAGGCATATTCACATGTGGGGTGTTTTGATGATTATGTATTTCACCTTTGTTTTTTGATTACCAATTAATGATTTTAAAAAGTATCAGATATTCCACAAATTTAATGAACCTTTCTGGGGAAAATACGACCTTACAAGGCCCAAGTGCTGACTGAGCTCTAAATATCCAGCTCCAGACCTTTAAGATTACAGCATACGTTTGCTTTTTATCATCAGGCAGTGACAACTTTTACCAGGAAGCCCACAGAATAGTGTGGGTTTCCCTGTTGGGGAAATCCAGAGAACAGACACCCAAAAAGATTAGGAGTGGGTTGCTGTAAAAGTCAAATGTCTTTTTATCATAAGGATCAAGGGATCTTTTGTGAACTAAAACAAGTGGGTTGTTTTCTGAAGGAAGCATGAGTGGTAAGGGTTATTTAGGTAGGACTGTATCTGCATTGGTGAGCAGTCCAAAAAGCACAAGTACAGTGGACTGAAGCTGCCTCTTCCAGAGCTATTATTGGTAAAATTGAGCAAGCTGGTGTAAAATCCTTCGCAAGACTTTGGTCTTGAGTGTTTTTTGGTCAGTTGCTTAGCAGCCTGAACTGTGAACTTGCTCAAGATGTTCTTCAACCAACAGGTTTGGTAACCCAAATGGCTGGTAGCTAGTGCCTGATGACAAAGGACTCAAATTGCAAATGCACACACAAGAGTTTATCATTAATCCTTTGAGGAAAATAAAGGAGTTGTGCTGTCCTTTTATAATATCCACTGACTTCCTTGCAATTTTTTTAGTTTGTTCTGCAGCAGAGTATGGCCCAAGCTTTCTTCTCTCAGCCACTGTTGATCCATCCCAAATCTGAATATTTCACCACTGAGCTGGAGAAATCCAAATACTGGATGGACACGATCTTTACCTTTTTATGTTTGATTGATTGACACCAAAGATGAAGCCTTAAGTAATTAAGGCAGAAGGAGTTTGCTCTTCATGGCCATTGTGTTCTGAGATGGATACCCAGATACAGTGAACAGAATTGAGGTCATCAGTTTACTTCAGACTGAGCAGTTTTTGCTGCTTAACAAATCATGGAAATCTTCATGTGTAAGTGCTAACTCCATGGGTTAACCAGTCTGTACACAGAAACTATTCTATTTTCATACAGCATCTGTTTGACTACCACTGAGTCACCTGTAGCTCAAGTCCTACATTATGACTATTGAGGCTACATGCTTTTCCATGGCTGCTATGATTTTAACACCACGAAGCCTGGAATGCAGCCACACAAAATCTGCACTTTGTTACACTGTGGTGGGGATTTGCGGGGGAACTGGGAAATGAGCACATTTGCTTGAATGACTGTTAGAAAACTAGCCTCAGTGGAAAAAACCCAACAACAACAACAAAAAAGACAGCTGGGAACAACAATTAACTGGATGTAGAGCTCTGCTTTCCTGACAAAGAACATGACCCCCGTATGGCAACTGGAGGCACTTACACTGCAGGAAAACTTATCCCTAGGGCAGAAGTTCAATTATGGGCTTTGTGCAGCTATGAAATACCCGCTCTGTGTAGTCTTGTGTATTCAAAAATTACAACCATTTATCCTTTTACCCATTGGATATGAAGCAGGCTTCTTTAGGAAAAAGAGTGCTGCTATTTAATGAGGTGTTTTACACAAATTGCCGAAGCAGGTAGATCTATTTGTAGGCTTGTTTTCTTCAGTATAAAATAATGGAGCAAAAATCACTGGGTTTTCCAAGTGTTCGGAATATTGTCATCAAAAGCAACCTTTCTTCACCCCCAGTGCACAGGGTGGTTATATCCTATGTCTTGCCAAAGGCCTTGTACACACCTGGATGCTTGCAAGACAGACAGGGCAGGTGGACTTTGCTGCTCAATGAGGGCAATTTAAAGAGTAGATATGCATGATACTGAACTCTGATTTAATGTGTAAGTGTGAACACAGAATAACAACACGGGTCATGGATTTGATCACTGGTGAATCTCTTTGCCAGTCCAAATTCAGCTCTTGCATGGACATAATCTAAGCCATCTGCTGGTTGGAGACCTGCAAGAAATAACTAGGTCTATAAAATCTGTGAGAGAGTTTGCCCAGATTAGTCAGTTACCACTTTGCCTTCAGAGAGACAAATCAAATTCCCTTTCATAACTTGCAGCTCTTTTCCCTCCAGTCTGGCTCAATAAGCTGTTTATCATGGAACAGATCTTACTTAGATCACACACCCAGGGTTGATGTTTTTTAGTCAGGATATTATCCTGTTTCCTCATCACTTTAATTTTTTGTGGCTTACGTTAGAATAGTTTATTTAGTCACTGTACATTAATAAATGTTGCCTACTTCAATCAGGCAGAAGAGTAACTGCAATTATTTCCTGGGTCTGAATCTTTAACAAGCTAAACACATTCCACTAAAAATAGTTTGCTTGGCAGAGATTCAAGCTGGGGGGCTCTCATATTTTCAGCTTTTTGCGTAGCACATTCATGCTATCATATTAGAGGCAAAGATATTCATATCACTGTTGTCTCTCTTTTATTACAGCTGAGGTTCTCCTGAATTTCTCCTGTCTTTGCAGCTGATAACATTCAAAACTGTTTTGATGTACTGACATCGTTGTTTACTCCTTTTGCTGGGGTAAATGAGCCCCTGAGATGTGCTGAGAGGAGAGTGAGAGCCCTGGTCAGCAGGGAGCCAGGGAGCAGTGATGTAGGGTCTGTTTGAGCAAGGGGGGGCTTTCTTACTCAGCCTTGTCCCACAGTCATTCCATTGATTCCACTGATATTACTTGTCATTCCCTCTGGAGAGGGAATAATGTTCAGGTCACTGTAGATAGACTGAAGGAAGAGAGATGCTTTGTGCTTCTGTCTTCAGTACATAAGGAGCCTTTGAGAAACAGCAACAGGATTGTAAGCAAAGCACTTCATTCTGTGAAGTGGTTGTTTTAAAGCATTGACTAGATCATGGAGCATGCCATTATCTCTCTGGAGGAAAGAATAAGTCGAATTACTCAGAAAAATGTGAACATGTTTGTGCTTACTGTAGGTGAAAGTCTCAGATGCTCTTAGCTCACTTAGCTGGAATAGTGAAAAATCCTAGTGCAGGTGGTGGCACCATGTCTGCACTGCCTGTTAGTTGTTTGTGAGCTGCTGTGTGTGGAGAAGCACAGCATCATCTGACTCTGTTTGGTATTCCAGGAAGGCACATGGAGACAAAGGGGATTTTTTTGTCAAATAAGTTGATAGGTGTGAAATTTCTTGCTGTGAAGAGCTGAACGGTTGCTCTAAGTCAATAGTAGAATTTGTGGTCTTGAAAAATTAAGTAATGGACAGTCACTAGGATTTTTTTTTTTCCTCCTTCATATGTTGACCACACTGAATGTATTTAACAAACAGAGAGCAAAAATCAAAATACTGCGTTTGGGAGATTTTAATTAAATTCTGGCAACTCCTTGGCAACTCCTAATATATATATATTTAATTAAATGCTTTGATTTTCCTTCAAATATTTGCGAGTCATCTCTGGCCAAAATTATTAGTCAAATCGGAATAATTTCAGTTCTCCAAAACACACTGTTCACTCAAAAGTTTGCCACGTTCTCGGAAGGGCATGGTACATATACCATATTCTTATTTGTTCTGTGACCAGTCACAAAACTCGTAAGAATTCCCTCTTCCATGACTAGGAACTGGCTAGAGAAAATCTGGGGTGTTTTAATCTTCACAGGCTTGTTGTGGAGGTAAGCTCAAAGATTTTGTGTTTAGCATTTTACTTTGTCACTGACTCTTCATTTACCCAGATTCTTATTCATTCTTCTGTCTTCCAACCATATCCAGCACAGGGTACTGGATAATAAAATGGAATGATGAGCTAACAGGGGCCTGGTGTCTGGAAATGGGCTCCCCACAGTGCTACAGCATATCCCACAGGAATACTAAATGCTCTTTTTTTGTAGGAGTAGTCAGAGATAATGCTGCTCAAAGGTGTGAGGAATCAGGCAGCCCTCAGGTGCTGGTTTTTGCAAAGTCTTCCTGGAACTTTGAGTTGGCCTTCTGTGCTGGTTTTCTGTTTGGTTTGTTTAGATTTGTTTCTTTCTTTGGTAGAACTGTGTTTAGATTATTCAACTATGCATATGCTGCATAATAGGTTCAGGGTTCCTAATCACTCCTGTGTCATACTATGATACTTTC